CTGAAGAGCTGAGGGACAGCACCCAGGCCCAGAGTTCAGACCCACGACCAGACCTCCCCCCCACCCCCCCAAAAAAAAGATCCGTGGCAAATGCAGGCGACCACAGACATTTTATAGGAAGATAAAAGAACAAGAAAAGCCTTAGTGATCTTGAAGTAGGAATGCGTGGCCACTTCCTCCGGAGAAGTACACACTGACTGTCCAAGGCAGCCACCATCATGATCACTGTCAGGGAACAGGATGGGGACGCTGCCCACAGGGCTGTGACAGAGGTGCCATGGCTTGAATGGCGGGAAGACTCTTGCTCTCTCCAGCAAAGAGTGTTGGAACAACTGAACATGTTTTTCCTTTGCCCAGGACTGGACCTGAACTTGGGGCCTCACACTGGCCGGGCAGGTGCACCACCACAGAGCCCCCATCTCCAGTCCCATTTCCCATTAGTTGTTTTTGATGGAGTCTTGCACTTTTTCCAGGAGTGTGCCCAGATGACAAGTATGCACTACCACATACAGTTACTTCTGTCTTGTTGGCTGGGAAGGTGGCTCAGTGGTAGAGCGCTTGCCTTGCATGCCTGAGGCCCTGGGTTCCATTCCTCAGCACCACATAAGCAAAAAGAAAAAAGCCAGAAGGGGCGCTGTGGCTCAAGTGGTAGAGGGCTAGCCTTGAGCTGAAGAGCTGAGGGACAGCACCCAGGCCCAGAATTCAGGCCCCACGACCGGAACCAAAAAAAAAAAGTTGAAAAAAAATGGGGTCTTGTGAGCCAGATGCTGGTGACTGGTTCCTGTAATCCTAGCTGCTTCAGGAGCGTGAGATCTGAAGAGAGCAATTCAACGTCTCCTGGGGCAGAAAAGTCTGCTTCACTCAATCTCCAATTGGCCAGCAAAATACAACAGCTGAGGTGTGGCTCAAGCCATAGAGCCACAGCCAGGAGCAAAACAGCTGAGTGAGCATGTGAGGCCCTTAGCTCTAGCCTTGGTACCAGAACACAACAACAACAACAAGGCCCAACAACACAAGAAACCTATGGAGTCTTGAAGGGTATTTTCTCCAGGTCTGTATGGAAGACACATAAATCTCCCAGAGCCAACCTCCCCCCAGCTCTTCTCCTTTGAAGATCAGAGTTACCTGGAAAGAAAATAGCTTTCAATTACTAGGTGCCTCCCTGGCAGTCTTGCAATTATCTGGCCATTTACAGCCTCCTACATATTTCAGTGCACAGGTCTTGAAAGACCACAGTAAGGCAGGTCTGCCTCCACTCACAATGCTTACTTAAAAATTATTTGGTCTTCCTTTTTATCCTTCCTTCCTTCCATCCTTCCCTCCTTCCTTCCTTCCTTCATTCCTTCCTTCTTTCCGTCCTTCCTTGCTTGCTTCCTGCCCTTTCTCCTTTATTTCTCTCTCTCTTTCTTTCTTCCTTCCTTTCTTCGAAATTTTTTGCAATACTTGCGTTTGAACTCAGGGCCTTGAACTGGCTCTGCTGGTACTCTACCACTGGAACCATAGAACCACCCTGCTATTTTGCTCATTATTTTGCAGATAGAATCTAGAAAACTTTTCTGTCCAGGCAGATCTTGAACCATGACCCTCCAGATCTCAACCTTGGGAGTAGCTAGGATAACAGGTGTGACCCACCAGCACTCAGCTCATTTGGGCTATTTCCAAAGATTGCAAACATAACATAGGTAGTATAGAACAGCACCAAGAAATGTTCTTAAGCCCCAGCAGAGTATCACTGCCCCATCAACTTTCCCAGAGGCCGGGTACCTCCTTTCAGGACCCTTCAGACTTGGGGAATGGTGCTGCTTTTATTATTAGTCTGTTTTCTGTTGGTAAAATGAAATAATGGAGGAAAGAGGTGGACTTGGCTCACAGTTCCAAGGCTGAGAGTGGGACAGCGAAGGCCCCTCACCCATCTCACAGCTGTGTGGAGAGGACAGGAGGCTCATGCCCTCACCCCACCACTCCCTGAGAGCTGACCAGACCCACATCCACCTCCATCTGACCTAACAGACCCGCCAGCCCCCTCAAGCACCCACAACCCCTAATGGTTGACACACTGTGAACCCCGAGGGCACATGTGAGCATTCCCAAGTATGGAGCTCTCCAGGACCCCTCACTCCTGATGCCACATGATGGAGCCTGGACCTGGAGGGTCAGCTAACCCCATGATTCTGTGTGTGGAGGGCCTGGGAAGCCCGGGACCTACTGAGCCTCTGATCCTTCATGATGGGATCACTGGGCTAGAGAACCTGCTGGCCAGGGTGCTGTCTGGTTCCTTTGCCCTTTTCCCACCATCCCTCAGGGCACTGGACAGAGCTGGCCTGCCAGGAAATTGAGCGGGACACGTGGCTGGCACAAGTCATGCCAACCCCTCCCCCCAGCATCCGGAGTCCTCCCACATAGGGCCTCCATGCTCTGTGTGTGCACTCAGCCCTCAGCCCAGCCTGGCATCCTGGGGCTGTGAAAGGCTCCCCAAAAAGGAAGCAAAGATCACAAGGCAGAAATCCCAAAATGCAAGGAAAGCACATCCTGTGTTCATTTGTACCCTCTATGGAGCCTTCAAATGTTTACCTCCCCTAGTGATGAAACCCATTGCATCCCAGGAGCTGAAATGCCACACAAGGAGCTCAAAGTCTAGATTAGAAATGGTCAATGGCCTCAAAGAGGAGTCAAATAAATGGATAGAGTTGGAAAGCTAATTTGAAATAAGAAGAAATTCAGCAGCTGAGATGAGAAATACAGAAGGCAAGTTGAGATTCTAAAAACAACAACAGGAAACAAAAAAAAAAAAAACAAAAAAACAGAATTGATAGGATGCAGTGCCCACGTAAATACACATGCTAAATGGAAACCATTTTAAAAAGAAAAGCTGCAAAAGAGAAAAATCTCTTGAAATGGAAAACATGTTTGGCAACCATTTGAAGGTAATAAAGTGGAAAACCCAGATTCTTGTGTCTCACACCTGTAATCCTAGCTCCTCAGGAGGCTGAGATCTGAGGATTATAGTCCAAAGCCAACTGGGGTAGAAAAGTATGTGATAACCTTATGTCCAACTAACCACCAAAAAGTTAGAAGTGGATCTGGGCTCAAGTGGTAGAACACCAGCCTTGAGTACAAAACCCAAGCACTGAGTTCAAACCCCAGGATTTGTATACAAACACATGCAAACACACACACTCACACATACATACACGCACTCACACATACATGCACACACACACAAACACAACCACACACAAATACACACACATATGAGGAAAAAATGGGAATATTGGAATTGAAAAATTCCATAAATAAAATAGAAAGCCTCAATGGAAAGTGTCGCCAGTGGACTAGATCAAGCAGAAGAAAGGATGGCAGGGAGGAATATGGTGTCATGGAAGTGTGAAAATCAGACAGAAACAAAACAACAGCAATCACATGCCAGCTTTCCAGTGCTCTGAGACAGATCAAGAGACCAAACTAAGAATCCGTGCATTAGAGGAAGGATCTGAGATGCAAACGAAAACTACAAAAACTACAGAACATCTATGCAGTGAAATTATAGCAGGAAAATCTCTGAACCTAGGGAACATATGGAAAACCAGGAGGTATCTAGAATAGCAGATACTACACTTGACCAGAAAAGATCTTCCACTTCGCATCACAGTTAAAATGTAGAAAACAGAACCAAGGAATGATATGGGGTGGGGACTGTAGGGGGATGGGAAGGGCTGCATGGAGGCCTTGGTTACTCACAAAGGTAAATTCATCAGATAAATCAAGAGAAACCTTAGAATCCAGGAAAATGTGGGATGATAAATTCAAGTCCTGAAAATAATACCTGCCAACCAATATTACTATATCCAACAAAATTATCCCTTAACATTGATGGAGAGATAAAACTAAACCAAAACAATTCAGGACCAAAAGTTGGCATCAGAATATTTACTAAAAAAATCCCATACAGAGATGAGAAAGCAAGCTGGAGATGATGGGAATGCTGAGGAGGCATGGATGGAAGAGAGGGACAAATAGAAGAGAGGGACGGGTGACTAATGATAACAGATAAATAATAGAGAAACAGATGGCTCATGAGACAAAAGGATGTCTAATGAGACCGCTGGATAATGAGAGGGAGAGATGAATATCAAGAGGGAAAGATGGACAACAGGACCCATTAGATAATGAGAGGAAAGGACAGATAACGAGAGGAATGGATGAACAAATAAGAACTGCGAAAGAGTAGATCATGTTCCACTCACATACACAGTCAACTGCAGGATAAATTATACAGGACTCTAAACATTCACACAGTGAGAACAAAGACAGATATTCTCAGGAGAGGATCAAAAGGGCCCAATAGCTGTATGCATCTGATCATATAAATTGCCACTTACTGAAATGAACTCCAAAAAATGGAAACAAGGGGGTTTGATTATTTTGCTATATTTTTAACATTTGTTGCTGTTTTTGATTTCTGTAACTTATGTCTTGTACATAAGGTTATCAGTTTGGGGGATGGTAAGGGAGGTACAGAAATGGAGGGACAAAGGGTGAACAAACGCTGCCGTGATATTTCACCAGACACTTTGAAAACAAACTATACAACTGCGGGGGAAGGGTTCAGGAGGGAAAAACCCAGAGAATGAGGGAAGATGAGACATTGTTAAAAACAAAGAAATGTACTCGTTTTCTGACTTATGTCAGTGTAACCCCCTATAAATCACCCTTACAATAACAATAAAAGACTTAAAATAAAAAATGAAAATCAGCGAACTCCCAAAACAAATAAGGAGGATATAAATATAAAACTATGTAGAATAAGCAGAAAAGGACACACTGAATGATAACCATCAGCTCATGACAGACAACAATGACACAAAGTTAAATGGTCTTAATTCTCCAATTAAGAGGCACACATATGGCTGATATTATTTTAAAAAAAGAAGAAGAAGAAGAAGTTTAAGTGGAAAGAAACTGAGGTCACTGGCAAAGACACTCACAGGCTGAGGGAAAGGATGGAAGATCACATGCCCAGTGAAGAGAAGCTAGATGGTAACTGAAGTACCTGTGCTCATATCTCCTAATGAAGACTCCAAGCAAAATCCACCCCAAGAAAAAAGCCAGTTTACAGGCATAAAAGGAGTCATCCACCCAGACAAACAGCAATCAAAAAGAGACAGCATTTAATGCTGCACAAGATAAAATCACTGCAGGGCATAAAATAACAGAAGGTCTAGATGCAATGATACTTCATGGGGAGCAAGAAATCTTTTCTTTGTGTGACTTTTCCCAGCGTCTTTGTGGCGGAAAAAACAATTAATCAATCCTTGATTTTTTTTCAAAAGTAGGAGATTTCAATACCCCCCTCTACCCAGAGATGATCCCGACACCCCTCCAAAAATCTAACAAAGGTGTCATGTCTGCCCTGGGGCAAGCTGGCCCTGGGCAGAGACCTCCCCACCTCCTGGCTAAGTTTCCCACCAGTGCCTATGTTACCTAGGGAACCGGCACACCTGGAAGCAGTCACTGCCCCTCCTGCAAGATCACATCCTGGGCTGCTGGGGGTCCCGGCTCCCATCTTACCATAGGAGGGTCCTAGGCCTTGAGGTCAGATCCAGATCCAGTGTGGCCAGACCTTTCCTCCACCTGGCCACACCTCTTCCCATCTCTGGCCCAGATAAGTCCTGGCCTGGGGTGGGTCTCCCCTTTCCGCCATGCCTCTCCACCATGCACCTCTGGGCAGCAGGGCTGTAAATACACTTCTTTTCCTCTCTGAATACCTAGTGGTGTTCTCTTCATGCGCCACCTAGTGAAACTACCTACTGAATACACCTTACAGAAGGCAAGTCAGCTTTAGGCTGATGGCCTCAGCAGATGTCTACAGTCTAGTCCACCTGGAGCCACAGCACGCTCCCTCTTCTAAGCCAACCATGGAATGACTCCAAATAGATCACACTTCAGCCCATGTCTTACAACAAGTAGAAAATAACTGACTATTTCCTTACAGCCACAGTATCATAGTAGAAGAAGACAAAAAGACATCACAGAGAGAAAACACACTCACCCAATAGACCTTTCATTGAAGAAGGAGGAGAGGGGAACAAAAGGCTTCCTAGAATCAAATGGAAGTAAAGATAACACTTTTCAGTGTTTGCAATTCCACAGCAATGAAACGAGTGGTAGAAGGAAGGTTTGTAGCGATGGGAACCTACGTGAAAGATCAGAGCTCAGCATGCCCATCCACGACTGAAGAGAAGGAAGAGCAAGCCCAGCCCCAAGTCAGCAGAAGGACAGAGACAATGAAGATCAGAACCGAGCAAAGGCTGGACAAATGCAGCCATGTCTCTCACTGGACACAACGTGGAAAATGGACTCTAGAACTTGTGGGCAGGGGCAGAGGGAAAATCTAGGACAGACTGAGGGCAGGGGTGACACTGTCCAAAATGAAATGAACTCTACCTGACCTATGCAACTGAAACCCCTCTGGCATCCCCTTTAAAGTAACAAGAATTATTTTACAAAGCATCAGAGCTGATGAGTGAAAAATGAAATAATAGTGCAGAGCAATGGATGAAGCAGCACTCTTTGAAAGAATAAACCCGAGGGACAAATCTTGAAAAAACTAACCAGAGCAAAGAGCCCCAGGCTGGCCAGATGACGGAGAATGAAGCAGGACAGCACAGCAAGAAAGTCACCAAGGAAGCTCAGGGGAAGGAGCCCCAGAGCCCAGGCCACAGGGTCCCAGACCACCAGCATAGGGGAGAGTGACTGCTCCAGAACTTTCTCTCTCAGACAGGATCTAGCGTCAAGAGCAGGCCCAGAACTCTGACTACATGACACCCCAAGACCAGGGAGCCCGTGGAGAGCCTGCTGTTGTTCAAGACCGCCTGGAACAGCGCACACATGGAGGGGTGAGTGCGGCAGGCAGCAGGGACAGAGCCCAGCCCCGCTCACCAAGTGTCCTGCTTCATTTGTCCTGCAAGGTTTGTCCCAGGAAGTGTGTCTCAGGAGGTGTGCCACATGACTCATCCATGCTTGTTACTTTGCAATGACACACAACTTCCCAGGGAAAGCCCACACAGGACCAGGAAGTGACCATGTGCCCCAGACCACGAAGTGACCTCGTGCCCAGTCCACACCTAACCCCACAGGGACATAAAGGCCAGGCCAGGAGGCCCCACACCACTCACCTCTCTCTCCACCTGCTCCTCTCACCTCCTCCACCAACCACCACCACAACCATGAGCTGCTGTGTGCCAGCCTGCTCCTGCTCCTGCTCCAGCTGTGGCTCCTGCGGGGGCTGCAAAGGGGGCTGTGGCTCCTGCGGGAGCTGCAAGGGGGGCTGTGGCTCCTGCGGGGGCTGCAAGGGGAGCTGTGGCTCCTGTGGGGGCTGCAAGGGAGGCTGTGGCTCCTGCGGGGGCTGCAAGGGGGGCTGTGGCTCCTGTGGGGGCTGCAAGGGGGGCTGTGGTTCTTGTGGGGGCTGCAAATCCAGCTGTTGCAAACCCTGCTGCTGTCAGTCCAGCTGTTGCAAACCCTGCTGCTGTCAGTCCAGCTGTTGCAAACCCTGCTGCTGCCCATCATGCTGTTGCAAACCCTGCTGCTGCCAGTCCAGCTGTTGCAAGCCCTGCTGCTGTGAGTCCTGCTGTTGCAAGCCCTGCTGCTGCCAGTCCAGCTGTTGCAAACCCTGCTGCTCCAGCTGCTGTGCCCCCGTGTGCTGCCAGTGCAAGGTCTGAGGCTCTGATCACAGACACAGGTAAGCTGGAACAGTTGGGTTTCTCAGCAAAGGTCTTGCTGCTTCTCACAGACCTGAAGCTCCACCCCCACTATGCTCCAGAACCCTGGCCTCCTGCAGAGCCAGCATTCAGGCACTAGCAGGGAACCCTGCCCAGGGGCAGACCCCAAGCTGGTCCTGCTGTCTTTGCTGACCCACCCCTTCTCAAGAGCCAACACCCTCAGCCCTCTTGGTCCTTTAATCTCCCTCAACCCCTGGGCCCTGCCAGAGCATCCCTGACTCCTCCAGCTGTTCAACACTGGCCCTGACACTGCTCTCTCCCTCCCTGCCTGCCTCCCTGCCTGCCTCCTTCCTTCCCTCCCTCTCTCCTTCCCTCCTCTGCTTGCAGCCCTGCCTTCCTTCCTCTGTCCCTTTCTCTTCCTCCCTCCCTCTTTCTCACTTCCCTTTCTCCCTTTCCCCTCTCTTTCTTCCTTCCCCCTCTCCCTGCCCCCTTTTCCTTCCTTCCCCTTCCCTTCTTCTCCCTCTTTTCACCCACCCCCTGCTTTGTCTCTCTCATCCTCCCCCTACCATGTCCAACAGGATGCTGTGGTGTCCTTAAATAAAAAGCTTTCCAAAGCATGATCTAATTCTTGTGGTGAGCTTTATTCATTTATTTATTTATTTATTTATATTATATGAGCTTCTATCTGACCAATAAAGTTCAGTTCTTTGGTTCTTCATTTGTCCAGGGACGGTGGTCCCTGGCAGGACAAGGTGGAGCCTCAGGGTCCAGGGCATGGGTGGCCAGGTAGGAAAGCTGGGCATGCTGCCTGGGCCAAGCTGCCTGTGCCCCTGCCCAAGCCCAGGCCTTCCTGAGAGGAGGCTGAGCCTGTGTGAGCCTGGGGCTGAGGAGGGGATAGGCTCCTGTGGGAGGCTGTCTGGCAGGGTTCCAGGAAGACCACCCACTGGCAGCAGCTCCCTCGGTTCATGGGTGCCTGCATGCAGGGACATGGGACTAGTAAGTGTGTCTTAGCAAATCTCAGGCTGCGGGGCCCACGCACACAGGGAGCTCCATAATGGCAGCGAGTGCTGGCAAATGCCCCGTTTCTCATGGACACGAAGCATGAACTTCACTAAACAGAGACCTGCGTGCTGCCAACCATACCATGCAGAGAGACAAACCCAATGATATCTCTGTCAATAAGGGCACGGAACACACTCATGGACAAAGCACTCAACACAGCAGAGGGGCTGAGACTCATCTGTAGTTCTCATAAAATGACATGATATTAAAACCCCAGAAAGATCCATGGCACAAACAGACGACCATAGACAGTGGAGGCAGACCTGCTTGCTGTGGGTCTCTGTGTACTGTTTGTTTGTTTGTTTTTGTTTTGTTTTTTGCTGGTCGTGGTATTGAACTCTGGACCTGGGTGCTGTCCCTCAGCTCTTCAGCTCAAGATGACTGGGTAGGGGGGTGGGGGAAGATGGGAAGTGATGGGAAGGGTCAACAAAGGAGGAAGATACAATGCTTGATAAGAAATGTACTCATTATCTTGCCCATGTAATTGGGACACCTCTGTACTGTATTTTCACAATAAAAAGAAAAAGAAAAAAGAAAAAAAAGAACTGCCAACCAAGATTACTATATCCAGCAAAAGTATCCCTTAGCATTGATGGAGAGAGAAAACTAAGCAAAAACAATTTGGGACCAAAAGCTGGAATCAGAATATCTACTAAAGAAATCCCAGGGGCTGGGAAGATGGCTCAGTAGTAGAGCGCTTGCATTGTACGCATGAGGCCCTGGTTTCCATTCCTCAGCACCACATAAGCAAAAACAAAAAAGCCAGAAGGGGCACTGTGGCTCAAGTGGTAGAGTGCTAGCCTTGAGCTGAAGAGCTGAGGAACAGTGCCCAGGCACAGAGTTCAGGCCCCAGGACCGGACACACACATAAGAAAAAAATGATAGAAAGAAAGAAAGAGAGAGAGAGAGAGAGAGAGAGAAAGACAGAAAGAAAGAAAGAAGGAAAGATAGAAAGAAACAAAGAAAGAGAGAAAGAAAGAGAGAAAGAAAGAAATGCCATACAGAGATGAGGAAGCAAGCTGGAGACGATGGGAAAGCTGGGGAGGCATGGATGGATAACGAGAGGGACAAATAGATCATGAGAGGGATGGATGGCTAAGGAGAGGAACGGATGCCTAACAAGAAGGACAGATGGATAACTAGAGGGATGGATGTATAATGGGAAGGATGGATGGATATTAAGAGGGAAAGATGGATAATGAGAGGAAAGTTCACATATCTAAAGGAATGGCTGAACAAACAAGAACTGGGAAAGAATGAAGCATGTTCAACACAGAAAGCCAGCCAACTACATGGTGAATTATACAGGACTCTAAACATTCACACAGTGAGAACAAAGACAGATATTCTCAGGAGAGGATCAAAAAGGCCCAATAGCTATGTGCATCTGATCATATAAAATGCCACTTACTGAAATGAACTCCAAGAAATGGAAACAAGAGGGTTTGGTTATTTTGCTTTTTTTTTTTTCTCCTTTGTCCTGTTTTAGATTTCTGTACCTTATGTCTTGTATGTAAGTTTATCAGTTTGGGGGAGGGTAAAGGAGGTACAGAAATGGAGGGACAAAGGGTGAACAAATGCCGCAGTAATATTCACTAGACACTTTGAAAACAAACTATACAACTTATGGGGGTGGGGTTCAGGAGGGAAAAATGGTGAAAATGGGGGAAGATGAGACAGTGTTAAAAACAAGAAATGTACTCATTTTCTGACTTATGTCACTGTAACCCCCTATAAATCACCCTTACAATAACAATAAATGACTTAAAATAAAAAATGAAAATCAGCAAACTCCCAAAACAAATAAGAAGGATATAAAAATAAAACTATGCAGAATAAGCAGAAAAAGACACACTGAATGATGACCATTAGCTGATGACAGTCCACAATGACCCAGAGGTAAATGGTCTTATCTCTCCAATTAAAAGGTTCACACTTGGCTGATATGATTTTTAAAAAAAGAAGAAGAAGAAGAAGATGGAGAGGAAGTTTCAGTGGAAAGAAACTCAGGTCACTGGGAAAGAAACTCCGGTCACTGGCAAAGACAGTCACAGGCCGAGGGAAAGGATGGAAGATCACATGCCCAGTGAAGAGAAGCTAGATGGTAACTGGAGTACCTGTGCTCATATCTCCCAATGTAGACTCCAAGCAAAATCCACCCCAAGAGATAGAAGCCAGGATACATGCATAAAAGGAGTGATCCTCTGAGACCCACAGCATTAAATGCTGCACAAGATAAAATCACTGCAGGGCATAAAATAACAGAAGGTCTAGATGCAATGATACTTCATGGGAAACAAGAAATCTTTTCTTTGTGTGACTTTTCCCAGTGTATTGGTGGGGGGAAAAATCAATTAATCAATCCTTGATTTTTTTTTCAAAAGTAGGAGATTTCAATACCCCACTCTACCCAGAGATGATCCCAACACTCCTTCAAAAATCTAACAAAGGTGTCATGTCTGTCCTGGGGCAAGCTGGCCCTGTGCAGAGACCTCCCCACCTCCTGGCTAAGTCTTCCCCCAGTGTCTGTGTTACCTAGGGAACCGGCACACCTGGAAGCAGTCACTGCCCCTCCTACTAGATCACATCCTGGGCTGCCCGTGGTCAGGGGTCCCATCTGACCATAGGAGGGTCCCAGGCCCTCTCTCCAGCAAAGACTGTTGGAACAACTGAACGTGTTTTTCCTTTTCCCAGGACTGGACCTGAACTTGGGGCCTCACACTGGCCAGGCAGGTGCAAAACCAAGGAGCCCATCTCCAGCTACATTTCCCATTAGTTGTTTTTTATGGGGTCTTGCAATTTTCCCAGGAGTGTGCCCAAATGACAAGTATGCACTACCACACACAGTTACTTCTGTCAAGATGGAGCCTTGTGAGCCAGATGCTGGTGACTGGTTCCTGTTAGCTGCTTCAGGAGCCTGAGATCTGAAGGGATCAATTCAACTTCTGCTGGGGCAGAAAAGTCTGCTTGACTCGATCTTCAATTAGCCAGCAAAATACAACACCTGAGGTGTGGCTCAAGCTGTAGAGCCATAGCCATTAGCAAAACAGCTGAGTGAGCATGTGAGGCCCTGAGCTCTAGCCTTGGTACCAGAACACAACAACAACAAGGCAAAACAGCACAAGAAATCTATGGAGTCTTGAAGAGTATTTTCTCCAGGTCTGTATGGAACACGTATAAGTCTCCCAGGGCCAATCTCCCTCCAGCTCTTCACCTTTGCAGCTCAGAGTTACGTGGAAAGGAAATTGCTTTCAATTACTGGGTGTCTCTCCTGGCAGTCCTGCAATTATCTAGCCATTTACAGCCTGCTACCTATTACAGTGCACAGGTCTCAAAAGACCACAGCAAGGCAGGTCTGCCTCCACTCACAACTCTCACTTAAAAATTATTTGGTCTTCCTTTTTCTCCTTCCTTCCTTCCTTCCAGCCCTTTCTCCTTTATTTCTCTCTCTGTCATTCTTCTTTTCTTCTTTTTTGCAATACTTGGGTTTGAACTCAGGGCTTTGCACGTGCTATGCTGGTGCTCTACCACTGGAACTGTACCACCACTCTGCTGTTTTGCTCATTATTTCGAGATAGAGTCTAGAAAACTTTTTTTGGGGGGGAGTCCGTTCGTGGGACCTGAACTCTGGTCTTGGGCGCTGTCCCTCAGCTCTTCAGCTAGTGCTCTACCACTTGAGCCACAGTGCCACTTCTGGCTTTTTTCTTTTGCTTATGTGGTGCATTCAAGGCAAGCGGTCTACCACTGAGCCACCTTCTCTGCCCTCTAGAAAACTTTTTTGTCCAGGCTGATCTTGAACCACGAACCTCCAGATCTCAGCCTTGGGAGTAGCTAGGATAGCAGCTGTGACCCACCAGTACTTGGCTCATTTGATCTATTTCCAAAGATATCAAAGATAACATGGGTAGTATAGAACAGCACCAAGAAATTATTTTTAGCCCCGGCAGAGCATCACAGCCCTATCCACTTCCCAGAGGCCAGGTACCTCTTCCTCTCAAGACCCTTCAGAATTGGAGAACGGTGCTGTGCGACGGACCAGCTCGGCTGGAGCACTGGGACCGACGGGACAGGGATCTCGGGATAGGTGGGCAAAGGATTCGGTGAAGTGACAAACAAACACAGACTCAAAAGAGTTGCATCTGAGTGTATCTTTATTGAGGAGAATTAACATTTTTATACAGTGTGTGATTGTGACATAGATTCTTTGTTTATTTAAGCACGTAATCAATTTTTTTTAAAGGCAAAGCATTGATGAATTACATGAAAATTAATGACTATCCCACCAACTGTTTAAGCTAAGTGGTGCGAAACAAGTCTAGCATATTGTTTAATAGAATACGTCATCTATTCAGCCTTTTTGTGTTTAATAATTAACAAACCTAAGACAGGGCTGTACTTACATTATACTCTTTTTAATTTTATTTTTATCCAACTAATTTCATCTTTATAAGCTCCTGTATAAGGAAATGGTTCTTGGTTGGTTCAGGAAATATGTTACTAACTTTATATTTTGTGTGAAAACACCATCTATTCCCTATAACGTAAGTTGGACTAAACTTAATCATAACTGTTGGGAGAATCTTTCTTTTTCTTATATAATCAGAGGTCTCTTCTTTTTTAGAACTCTCTAAACTACTAGGATACCTCTTTCTAACTTAGTTTAATTTATTGATTTTGTCTGTTGGACATATCTAGAAATTTTAAGTCTCTATATTTACTATGCGTGAGCTGCAAAACCACTTGTGAAGTTGTAGGGTTTCTGGAGGCAACGTCACATCAGATGATAGATGGATTGGGGGATTGCCCACATTTAATCTTTGGCCTTAGTCTTTATTACTTAGAGAAGCCATCTCTATTGGACTGGAAAAATACAACATGCTCTGTTCGCAGATCAATAGAAAAATAAGCAAAATGAGAATAAAGGCAACGAATGTACAGCCAAGAAGAATATAGTAAGAATAAAGGTAGAGTCTATAAAGGTGCAGCCAAGTGTATGGGAAGCCTTGAACCAACACCCCCTTCCTGGGGTCATGCTTCCTTGAAGCTCTTTGTCCAACACAATCTCTCACGCAGACTCCGCAGAAGGTGGCGTGGCACCCACTGGTCACAGAAAGATGTCCACTCAGCTGGAAATACCAGGAACCACTGGAAGTGCAAAAACTTAAGCATTTGACCTTGCTTCTCTGGCCAGAGACTATTCATTGAACTTGCAGTCCCTTATTCTGTTGTCGATGTCAAATCAGAAGCCATCTATCCACCACAGGCAGCTTTATGGAAGTGCTCCGCCCACCTGCGCCGGCCTCTCTTTGCTGAACCCAGCTAAGGACTCCTTGCAGACACATCTTCATGGCTGCTTTGCCTGCTGTGATCTCTGCTCCTTTCCAAACGCTTGCTTCGGCAGCTTCTTCTCCATTGTGCCTCTCGGACTGGGTTCCAATGGTGGTTGGATACTGAGCTGCTTGTTAGAGGAGGAAACAAGAGTTGTATACAATGGCAGGCCTGAACTGGCCTGGAGGCAGGACAAACACTCTCCCAGGTGGGACTTGTCAGGGCACAGGGCAGGCATCCTGCCACTGGGCCCTGGGTCACTGTGGTGAGCAGCAGTCACACTGGAACTTCTCTTTCTCAGAGAACAACAGGTTAAGTCTGACCAGATTGTCTTTTTTAGGGAATCCAGTTCTCCACCAACTCCTGGGGGATGCCTGGGGCTTGAGTCTATGCCAGGCTCCACTCCTGTCCAGAACCTTTCATTCCAAAAGTTTCAACCAAGTGTATGTGTCGTGGCAGTGCTGCTTTTATTATTAGTCTGTTTTCTGTTGGTAAAATGAAATAATGGAGGAAAGAGGTGGACTTGGCTCACAGTTCCAAGGCTGAGAGTGGGACAGCAAAGGCCCCTCACCCATCTTCCAGCTCTGTGGGAGAAGACAGGAAGCCCATGCCCTCACCCCACCACTCTCTGAGAGCTGACCAGACCCACATCCACCTGCATCTGACCTAACAGCACCCGCCAGCCCCCTCAAGAGCCCACAACCCCTAATGGTTGACACACTGTGAGCCCCAAGGGCACATGTGAGCATTTCCAAGTATGGAGCTCTCCAGGACCCCTGACCCCTGATCCCACAGGATGGGGCCTGGAGCTGGAGAGCCAGCTAATCCCCTGATTCTGTGTGTGGAGGGCTTGAGGAACCCGGGTCCCCCTGAGCTTCTGATCCTGCATGATGGGATCCCTGGGCTGGAGGACCCACTGCCCATAGTGCTGCCTTGCTCCTGTGCCCTCTTTTTGCTTTCCCTCAGGGCACTGGGCAGAGCTGGCCTGCTGGGAAATAGAGTAGGACACGTGGCTGGCACGTCATGCCAACCCTCCCCCCAGCATCTGGAGTTCCGTACGGGGCCTCCATGTTCTGTGTGTACACTCATCCCTGCAGCACAGGCTGGCAAGGAGACCCATCAGATCACCCTGTTTCCACCATCTTGGGACTATGAAAGACTCCCCACAAAGGAAGCAACGATCACAAGGCAGAAATCCCTAAATGCGAGGAAAGCACTTACATCCTGTGTTCATTTGTACCCTCTATGGAGCCTTCAAATGTTTACCTCCCCTAGTGATGAAACCCATTGCATCCCAGGAGCTGAAATGCCACACAAGGAGCTCAAAGTCTAGTTTAGAAATGGTCAATGGCCTCAAAGAGGAGTCAAATAAATGGATAAAGAAATTCAGCAGCTGAAATGAGAAATACAGAAGCAAGTTGAGATTCTAAAAACAACAACAGAAAATAAAACAAAAAAGAAACAAAAAACAGAATGTTAAATACACATGTTAAATGGAAACCATTTTTAAAAGAAAAGCAGCAAAAGAAAAAAGTATCTTGAATTGGAAAACATGTTAGGCAACTATTTGA